AGAAAAACAACAACCCCAAGCTCTGACCGTGTATTTCCCAGTCTGGTGTGAAGGTAACAAATTGTAAAGATTAGCCAATTTTTTTTTTTTTTTTTTGGAAACAAATCTTTCCAAAAAGGCTTAAACCTTTGACCTGCCTGGGTCCACACTGACAAAATGGAGAGAATGAATGAAAAGGAACCGGAGAGAGGTGGGTACAGGAAACTCTGCTCTAAAATACACAGTCTGTATTTTTTTGGTGTCAAGGCCCCCGTCTCTTATTTTTTTTCCCCTTTTATTAATGAAGTGGAAGGAGTGAAAGCTCTGGTGAAGGCTTGGCTGGCACGGCCACAGCTGCCTGCGCTGACAGCGAGGTTTTCTGCCCGTAACGTCGCATCCCGGACACGCGGTTTCCCCTGAGCCTGGTTTCGGAGCTCAAGTTGAGCGGTGACTCGCCTGGGTGTTTTGTGGTGGGGTCTGCGGCATCTCCCAGGGGACAGGAGATGGGTGGAGGTGCAGCAAGGTGCCAAGAGGAATTTTTGGAAGCACCTACGCTGTCTGCCCTGGGTGAATCAGGCCCTTGTTTCTAGTGAAAGGGGAGGTTTCAGTCCCTTCGTGATTTACGGAGGGGGGCTCAGATGTGTCCCACCACTCCAAAGCTGGCGTTGGTTCTTGGTGCTACCTTTCACCTGCCGTTTCCCAAGGCGTTGCCTGTGCCACAGTGAATTGCTCACACTTTGCTGAGGAGCCCGCTGAAGCCCTGTACCGAGGCCGAGCCGCGCTCAGCACTGTCCCTGTCCCTGCATCCCCAGAAAAACATCCCTGGAAGTGTCTACGGGGCAGCCAGGTGAAGGGATGCAGAAGGGGATGGCGTCTGGACAAGCAAGCTGGGGAGGTGATGCTCCCCTGGCCTGTGGTCCCCCAGGAGCGGACGGTGACCCAGAGGGGGAGAACAAAACCAAAGGAGCAGCAGCTTTCACAGTGCTGACGCTCCAGTCAGGGCTGGGGACACCGGTTTCCAGCACCGATGGCTTCTGGTCCAGGTCCCGAGCCCGGCGATGCCTCGCGGCTGCCTCTGCCTGGTGCCCGCTCCTCCCCGTGCTCTGCAAACAGCGGGCAGCTGAGCCCGGTGGGTAATCTGGGGCAGCCGCACCCCCCGGGTACCCCCGTAACACCGGGGGTTTTACTCCAGGCTGGCTGTTCTGTGCCCTGCTCTGCTCCCCATCCATCCCCAGGCAGCCCCCGGTCAGCCAAATGGGCACGCAGGGCTGGGGGATGGGGGGCTTGAGGGGCGAAGGGGAGACGCTCGGTGCTGGTGAGTGCATGAGGCTGCCCCACTGACCGCATCCCACCGGACACCGGAGCTGCCGAACCGCAGATCCCGCCTGGATGCTGCCCCCCCAGCCGCAACAGCCCAGGCGGCGTGTTTGAGGATCTCCCCACGTTATGCTTCTTTCTGAGAAAAAGGTGGCTGAGGGGTCCTGGTGTGCTGATGGGTGACAAATTGACCATGAGCCAGCAGCGTGCCCTGTCCGCCAAGAAGGC